TATAGCATGAGATGGCATAGCGGTATGAAGAAGCTGGCTTCAGCTTTGGCTTCGGTTGGTGCAGCCAGCCTTCCAGGTTGGGGTCCAAGGGACGAGGACCGTCGGTGAGAGACACTAAGTGATATGGCCCTGAATAAAAGTCAGTGGCGCGAATGCTGTACGGTCTGCCTGTCGAAATCTCGTGCTCCGTAAAATATAACAAACAACACAAAAATATCAAAAGGTGTACGGTGAAACACAAAAAAATTTTTCTATCCCAGTTATCTTCCATTTCCCCGTGTGTAACTGTTTTACCCCCTTTTCACTCTGTTCTGTACCCCAATCCACTTGTCCCTTTTTATTGTTATTGTTATTATTGTTGTTGCATTGGCACCATGCTTGTCTATAAGGCTTAAGACGAAGTGACTATCTTAAAAAGGAACGCGATAAAATCTCCCAGTGGGTCAGAATTATAGCGTCTTACGCAATTGTATTGTAAATGTCTGCTGTACTCTCTTATCAAACTTAATTGTGCAATTTGTGGGTTTTATACACATTTTTTTGTCACTCCCAAATGTCTTCCTCTGTCCTCCAAATTGACCCGATCTTCACCTTTTGCTGTACAGAATCGTATTAGCGGCCTCTTTCGGTCCCACACTCGGGTCGATTTATCCGCTGTTCTTCGGCAAACATGCCGTGGGCTAAAAGTTGGTGACAGTGCTCAACTGAGGCGAACCATCACCACACGAGAAGTAAACGTATTTTCCCAACTGACTGGAGACACGAATCCGTTGCACGCGGATGGAGAGTACGCTCAATCCGGCCCGTTCGGTAGACCGATAGTGCATGGAGTTTTCACCCTCGGGTAAGATACATCCTTGCCATTTTCGTTTATCCACAAGCACTGAAGCCAAATCTTGCCGTTCGAACCCCTTGCTCACGTCCAAACTAGTCATCACTCGATAAAGCAGTTTCCGGTTCTTATTCTAACTTGTAACCCAAACAACTTGTATGGACTGGTTTGCGGGTTTTCCCACTTCAACTTTAAAGACTTTGAAATCCTGTTGAGTAAGCTTGGAGAAACAAAAAAGTACGATGGGGAACACACACTGAAACATAACGGCAGAAATAATTGACTGGGACTCGTGAAACTGCCCAAGCTTTCCAATTTCAACTGATCGGCGCTGTTTAGCAAAGCAGTTGCGGACGTGGATCGACCAAGGAAGACTGCTATCTATGGTTACACCAAGATATTTGACAGAGTTCAACCTAGATAAAGGATTGTTACTTATCACTGTGGGGTCCGTCGGGCGTGATGAGCGAGCAAACCTATGTAAACACGAAACATTTATTGGAATTTAAGGTTAGCCCCGATTGGGAGGAGAATGACTGAATTTGACCAAAACTATCAGTGAAGGAGCTTAGATAAGAGGAAAAAGAAATGGGTTGGCACATCATGACGCATATTTCAAAACACGTGCAGGAGAAACAGGAATATCACGAATATATGAGGAAAATAAACATGGAATAGAATAACTCCGCAGTTGTTGACTACGGGTTTAGATGAAGCTTTCCCAAGTCTAGTGGTTTGTTCTCTATCATTAAAAAAGTTGGATAACCAAGCTAACAATTGCCTGGGGCATTCAAACGATTCCAGTTTTGGTAACAACTTAGATCGAGGGATGGAATCAAATACTGAGGAGTAATCTAGAAAAATACACCGAACAGGCTTTACAGAGCAGTTCAAAGACTTATTGATAAAATGAATAAGGGTTGAGACTGCACCTAAGGTGGATCTATTAGGCTTGTAAGCAAACTGTCTAGGATCACTGTTGCAGATGTTCGTGGATAGCCTTTTCAATCAACTTAAGAGCTGAAGATGTTAACGTTGGGGGACGAAAATGGAGAATATGGAGGATTTTGATGCTTTGGAAATTTATATGATTATGACCGGCCTTAAAAAATCGGAGATAGTAGAAGTGGAAATTGATTTAAAATGGAGGTGATTGCCGCNGATTGCCGCAGCTCGGGAAGCAAGGTCGAATTTGAAGCGTGCTGAAGTTAAACCAACCCAGCGTGCAGCAGCGGATGAATTATAACTATTTAAAAGTTTTAGCAAATCGCAATTAGTGAATGGTTCCATATTACTAACATTGTGTGACTAACAGGCAGGAATGCAGAATTGTGATCATTAGAATCAGTATCTAGCTTCGACCGTACTTTCTGCCTTATACAGAGAAGTCTGGTAGCTTGTCACAGGTGTTCGCTGTTTCCTTTTCCCAGAATTCGATCGGAGAATAATCTATCTATTTCAGCTTTGATAAGCATGGATAAATGCCTGAGAGCTGAAGCATTGTGAGACTTGTATGCACGTTCCTTATTTCGTCGTAATGACTTTAGTAGGGGAGTGATTATCCTTCCGTTGGGCACAGGCTTTTAATAGGAATGTAGTAATTAAAAATGGCATTGGTTGTTTGGGTGAATAGTGGAACAAACGGTAATAGAGAAGAAGGAGATTATGAAAACCAAAAAGAAGCCTGTCCGAGAGATTTCGCAGTTCGAATGAAAAGATATATTGAAAACCAGAAAATTTCAGCAATTCAATCTAAAAACTCCAGTATTCTTTCATAATCTAATCATGTTTCTTTTCCCTCAACAGTCATATTCAAACAGTTTTCGACAGGATTATTTTCCTTCTGGGTTTTCAATTCTTCCTTTTCGATCAATATCAATGCTAAAGGTACAGTACACCTAGGGATGTGTAAATATGATACTGATCCACCAAACTACATGTTCGTTAGAAATTCAAACTACAATCATTCTCATGTATCGAATAGTTTTTGCACCAACAGGTCCCAGACTTGTTACTTTCCAACGCTTTACACCAATCGGAAGTCTCCCACCAAATCAGTTCTTCCTTGCAGGTTTGGGTTTACTGTCCTACTGGTTAGTCCTGTGGAGTGTGAAACTCGAGTCTATGGTGCTTTCTGAGTGTATGGTTGACTGCCTAAACTCAGTATTTTATGTTGTGGTTGAGTTTGAAAGACGGTGATTTCAAAGTAATATTTATTCCGCACCACCACCAGTCGTCACAAGTAAGTGTGAATCAAATGCAAACACGTGTATGAGATTATCAATTCGTGTTCGGTGATTTAAGGTAATCGCCGGTTGTTTTACGGAAACCAATGCAGTTTCATCGAGGTACTCGTTTTCGTTACATGTTCTCCGTTTCCTCATACCGTCAAAATTTGAGTGCTTAAGGGTACTTACTACATCTGGCTGTGAATGTGTGCTGAGTGTGCACTTCAGTCTTCGTGTTGCCTCACTGGGACATGAACGCTGTTCATTATTGTCTAAGTCCAGTCAAGAAACACTTTCACTGAAAAGGATGAATGTTTAGCAATTTACGAACTGGTACAGTGCATATGTGAAACAAATTGCAATCAACACAAAAAAATAATGTGAGAAATTCTTTACTGTACGGTGGTGGCCAAGTGGTTAGGTCACCAACTTTTGACCTGGGTATCCCGGGTTCGAACCGCTCCACCTCCGCCCGTCTTTCCAGATAGCCTTTATATGACCGCAGCCCCCTTCCTGAATGTTGACTGTACATTGGCATATTCAATAAATAAAAAAGGAATTAAAAAGACATTTATTTATTTAAATGAGAAAAATTGATGCATTGGTCTTTCCCTAAGATGAGTGGTAATTGTCCTACGATTGATCGGTAGCTGAGGAAAGTATGGGATTACGCTGACTGTTCTTATATGTAGATCTACGCTCAAATAGGAGTTGATATTTTGAGTGATTTCGGAAATTTGACACGGCTTTCACGATTCCTCGGTTTAGTCAGTGACCTCAATCACGTGTTGTCCTGTCAATAACGGTATTGCAAGCGTCCAAATGCTTGAAAGTAAAGAGATCAACCCAAACAACTCTGTTTGGCACAGTGGTAACGCACACGCCTTCCATGCGGTGGGTCCGGAGTTCAAATCCCGAACGGGACGGTGGATATGCACTACGAATGAGCTCTAATAATAGCGAAACTCGAGTTTAGTGCTTTCAAGTGTATGGTTGAATTGATGAACTGAGGATTGTGCGTGAAGATGAAGTTCGAAGGATAGCCAGTTCAATCAAAACAATTGTGTCAAATCCACTGTAGCAGGTCAAAAGTTTGAGGGATCTAAAAAATAAAGTAAAAACTTTTTCTTTCAGGTCAGGGTTTCTCAAATTAACTAGACGGTGAACCCACGAACTATT